AAGAATTGAACGTGTCCTTAATGAATTGTGAAGATTGAGTACAGATGAGGGCAAAGGAGTACAGTGTGAGTGAAGATGAAATAACAAGAAGACTTCATGGTGATTTGAAGCACTAGTTTCTGGTTGAGATCCGTTGCTAGGGGACGACTAATGGAGATTAAGAATCCTAGTGCGTTTGAAATGGTGAACTGTAAAGTGTGTAGATCAGCGATAGCGCTGTATTAATTGTAATTAAGAGATATTGTAACCAATGTGCTAATAAATCCAATCATCCGAACTAGATCCCGTTATTTTTGTCACGCTTACCCCCACACACGTGACAGTCTTTTCATGTTATCTTTACCAAATGTTGCATAGTTTCTGTAGTGTGCTTGTATACCCATTGATAGGTAATGACCATAAAATAAGCAGCTGTATAACGGCCGTTGCTAGGTGATGGCTCTGTAAACAACATTCGTTACCAGGTAATGGCTGCAACAATAGAACCGTTGGAAGCGGTGTTTTCTGTCGCCCATGCTGAGGGTATATAACGAGGGCCAGCTGCCATGAGAGGCCTCTTGGAGGCAGGGTCAAATACTTCCACCTTGATCCTGCGAGTCATAGGAGGTGACAAAAAGGGAAGTCTCAAATCTGAGACAATAAAACATAGTCATGAGTCCCAAGGGACTCAGACATGAGAAAGACTGCACTGGCAAGGGCCAGCAGCATATACGAAAGGCAGACCTGTCCTCTCGTTAGAGAGGGTGCCCCACAAAAACAAGACCATAAATGCCAAACAGTAATAAATATCTGGTCATGAGCCCCAGATGGGGCTCGACACCAGGACTTACTGACTGACTGACCGTCAGTCTCAATGTGACTTGGACTTGGAGAGGCCTCCTGAGGCTCATCTTACTTTGAATGGACGGAATATTCCCTTAGTCATGTAAAATATCTCAGTGTAATCTTCGATCAGAGTATTACATGGAAACTGCACATAAGAAAATGAAGCCAAGGTCTTAAGAACATTTATTAGAATCTACTCCCAATTCAAAAGTGAACGTTTTAAGTGCTAACATTAATCTAACCCTCCATTAGGCTTTGATAAGATAAGTAATGACTTAGGCTTGTCCCACCTGGGACTTAACGACAGACACCTACCTCTTAAAATTGCAGCGCATGCTAAACAAGGTTCTGCACACCATTAGAAAATTTCCAAGGTGCACACCGGTCTGCAATTTGCACACAGCTATCAGTCTTTCATAAGCATATGATTATATAATAAAATTGTGCAGGCGACAAGCAGGATTCATACACAGTCATGAGAATGGACATGTTCCTGGTGTAGGACACGGTGAAGCCAGACAAGAAAATATAAGAGGCTTAAACTTGGCGGTGGTCAAGCTTACAACAGTTCAAAAGACTAATCTGCCATTGTAGCATAAGATAGGCACGATCTGCTCTGTAAAGCCTCTACAGACAGAGGACTTGTGTGCAAAAGGAAGAATTTTCAATAACATGGTATATGTGCGAAATGTACACTTGACGAAAGGCCAGGCGTACTAATAAGAGACAGACCGATCATCTCGTCAGAGAGGATGTTACATAAGGACTGTTACCGCAAGAGTTTAGTTGGGGAAAAAAGCTCTGGTCGTGGGTCTCAAGGTACCTGGCGCTAAGACGAACTGATTGGCGGTAAACCACCAGTTGTAAAGTAGCAATGACTTTGACTTTGAGAGGAAATCTTGAGACAGCAGTGAGAAGAGTAATGAGTTGGTGTGAAATGGCCACCAGCCTGGGAATTAGTCAGTTGGAGCAGTGAGTGAGTTGTGAGACAGTCGCCAGCAGTAAGGACGCTAACACGGAATCTGAGGAAGCTGTTACTAGGCAACAACCGGTAAGGACACAGCAAACTGAGAAGACTTCTTACATGATGTGAACTACAGAATGTTTGAATTAGCGTTAGCGCTATAGTTATTTGTAGTTATGCTTTATAAGAGTTGAATAAAACCAATTACCAATCCAAACCCCGTCTGTAGTCACTCATGCATGTGACAACTGGTGTCAGAAGTTGGATTGGATTGATTGATCGAACGGATGGAATTGCTGGACCGAAGACTGCAGTAGATAGTTGTATTGGCATATTACAAAAATGGAACAAATGACAGAGCAGATACTGGAACGCCTATTGGCTGGCCAAGAATAATGATGGCCAGAATGAAAGCTGAGATGGAAACCAACCAAGAAAGGATAGAATCCAAGATGGACTCTTATTATAAGGAGTTTACAGCAATAATTAAAGCCGGTCAAGAAACGACAGAGGCTATAGTGGAGGTGCATGTAGAAGAGATGGAGACCACGGATTTGGAGGTAAATCCTGAAGATATTAAATTCAAGTTGGAGCATTGGGAAGTCCCTAAGGAAGAAGCTGCGCTGGAAACTGTTGGAGCCCTCGTGGTCTGATACTGGGACCGGCATGTAGCCGTAGGGTGCCTACGACAACTGAAGAAACAGACCCAGGGTGATTGTGGGTCCTGGAAGAAGCTGGTAGCCATCCACAGACGATCCGCCGTGCCATTCCTGCACCATGCAAGGGACACTGATGTTAGGGACCAGGCAAGGATGATGATGTACAGGGAACCCCTAAAGGATGAATGTTCTAGAAGAGATGTTGGGCACAATCCAAACGCAACAATAGCGTAAGGGACCGAGGCCTGAGACGGTAGCTGCGTCTGGGGAGCAAGGAGACGTTTTATGAGGGACTTGGACAAATGGTCAGACTGGAGATTGTGAAGCAAGCAGTCAGGCTGCGGAAAATGTGTGTTAAGACATTGTGGTTGAGCCAGCCACCTCCCAACAGAAAGAACAGACTACTAGCACCTTAAGGGCCAGAGATGCAGGAGAATTGACAACTCTCGGAACTTTTGCTCACAGTTCCCGGAAAACAACAAAGATGATAGTACACTGGACCAGCTTTCATCTTAGCAGGGAACTGCTTGGGAAAAGCGCACTTAAGGAGAGAGCAGCAGATGCAGTTGGAGAGTAATCACCATGAGAAACTTGCCACGGGTAAGGAAGGTGAGGTCAATCACAGACGTCAAAAACACAGCCCTCGGAAGAGAAGAAATGTCGGTACACCTGTGGGCTATTCATGAAGAATAGCCTTAAGGAGGGAGCAATATGACATGTAGACTGGTTGCTATGGCAACAACCATGAAATAAGCAGCTCAACAACAGCTGTTGCTAGGTAATGGCTCAGTAAACAACCGCTGTTTCTAGGTAATTGACCCAACAGATGCATGTAACAATAGAAGAACTGTTGGAAGTGGTGTTTTCTGTGCTGCCCATACTGAGGCTATATAACGAGGGCGAGCTGCCATTGGCAACTGATTGGCAGAGCAGCAATATAGCGTAAGTCAAGCAAGTTTTTGGAGCTGTCAGTAAGATATGGTCACGAGTCCTGTGGGACTCAGAACCAAAGTTATTCTGCTGGTGAAGACCTATAATAATTAAGCAGACAAGCAAGTCAGCAAAATATGGTCATGAGTTTTGCTGGACTTGAAACCAAGAATGACAGTGATAATAATGACCAGAAGAGATTTATCTGACCGACCAGCTGTTGCAAGAATTGCAAGACTGAATGAGTGGGAGTGAATGAGCGTGAGAGAGCCAGCATTGTCTCCCCCAGTAGAAGGGGAGTGATCGGTAATAGTCAGACCTCTCCTCTAGTCGAAGAGAGGTAAATGATAGACGTGTTCTCTCATCAGAGAGGGTGCCCTACATTGACAAACCCACAACTGTCTTACAATAATACAAATTTGGTCTTGGGCCCAAGATGTGGCTTGACACCAAGACAGACTAGTCGACTGACTGTCAGTTGTAATGTAACTTTGACTTTAACTTTGAGAGGGAGTCTTTAGACGACAGTGAGAAGAGTAGGAGGTTGGTGTGAGATGGTCGTCAGCCTGGGAGTTAAGTCATTTGGTGCAGAGAGTGAGTTGTGAGCTACTGGCCAGTAAGGACGTGAACACAAGCTGAGGAAGCTACTGCGTTGGAAGCTATTACCAAGTGACAACCAGTGAAGATACAGCAGACTGAGAGGACTTTGTATGTGCTGTAATGAACTGTAGAATGTGTGAATAGCATTAGAGCTAGTTATTTATAGTTAGGTTCTGTATGAGTTGAAATATTAGCAGTTTTCAGAAAGTAATAATACAAAATTTATTACTCTTAATATTGTTTCTTCCTTGATCTCATTTTTATTCTTGATTGAGCTGAATCGGCATCGCTAAAGACCTTTCATCATTATTCCTATATTTAACCTTGTGGTGATGTGAGACAGTCCCTTAGTGCTTAGGCCCAATGTACCATTTCCAGGTGACAGATGAGAGAATGTAGCATTCTTGGCATAATAATCAATGGGAAAATTGAAGTTCTCTAGAACAGCCTGGCCCACTTCCATTTTGTTCACCACAATTCCCACATTGACATTTCTGGGATTGAATCTGGCCCTCCACTGCTAGAAGCCAGTTCCTGATTGCCTGAGTTGTGGCATGCTCTGTTGTCATTACTTACTGATCTGTCTGACTATAGACGTTGAGAATATTTAGGCGTTAGGTAAAGGTAAAAAGGTATGTAAAGCTAGCCCTGTAACAGGCCATGGAGACCCAAAGGGTTGTGAGACGTCAAGGCTCCTACATTTTCTAGACAGTCAGCCCACAGATGGTGATGAGGTTGTCAGCCTTACCAGCCGCGCTTTGTCCCCCAGAATTTTCCCTGTACTCATTTCTGTGAGGGGCTGAGTCAACTCATTGATACATTGCATTTATACAGTTTACATATTCTGTGTTAAATGTTTCTTATGTATACCACGACGATATTTTGATATGTAGTTAGTGAACAAGACATTCTGAAACATTATAATAAATTAAACTGGAAAAATTAAAGGTCATTCATACTGTTACAGTTGTTTCATGAAAATGTTGCACTAATACAAGCAACTTTTTTCATGTTCCTCTCAGTCGAACTGCTGACCTGCTGATGCAGGAGTCTGGTTGTCGGTTAGACCATCCTGCGGCTGCTAAGTTCAGACAGCATGTCATGGATGGCGACTGGAGCAAGGTAATTCATCAATGTCTTCCATTATCTGTGTGTTTTAGTTGTAAGCTTTCAGGTACTCTACCATTCAGTTATGTTTGGTAACATTCTCTAAGGCCCTATATAACATTCCTAACATATTACAAGGGATCAAAACCTGATTCAGGAGGAAATTAAGAGGAGATTGAACTTTGGTAATGCTTGCTACCATTCAGTCCAGAATCTTTTGTCTTCTTGTCTGCTGTTCAAAAACAAAAATTAGAATATACAAAACTATAATTTTTCCTGTGGTTCTGTATGGTTGTGAAACTTGGTCTCTGACATTAAGGGAGAAATATAGACTGAGGGTGTTTGAGAACAGGATGTTGAGAATATTTGGACCGAAGAGAGATGAAGTGACAGGAGGTTGGAGAAAACTGCACAATGAGGAGCTTCATAACTTGTGCTCTTCTCCAAGTATAATCAGAATGATAAAGTCAAGGAGGATGAGGTGGGCAGGGCATGTAGCACGAATGGGAGAGACGAATGCGTATAGGATATTGGTGGGAAAGCCAGAAGGAAAGAACCACTGGGAAGACCAAGGCATAGGTGGGTGGACAATATTAAAATGGATCTTAGAGAGATGGGATGGGATGTTATGAATTGGATTGATCTGGCTCAGGATAGGGACCAGTGGAGGGCTCTTGTGAACATGGTAACGAGCCTTCGGGTTCCATAAAATGCTGGGATTTCTTGAGTAGCTGCAGAATTGGCGGCTCCTCCAGAAGGGCTCAGCTTGATGAGTAAGTAAGTAAGGAAGTAACATATTACAAGGAGTTGGTAGCCCAACCCCCATGTGGGAGAACCACCCTTAGCTGTCCATGACATTTTTTTTTTCAGTATTTTTGTATGAATACTGTAATCTTATGGTCATCTCCATGATCTGCAACTGAGGAAATGCAATGCTATGGTGCCATGGGACCCATTTAACATGGAGAAAGTAGCCTATGTTGAGCTTCATAATTTGTGCTGTTCGTCAGATATTATTATTATTATTATTATTATTATTATGATCAAAACAGTAAGGATGAGATGGGCAAGGCATGTATCATATGGGAGGGATGAGGGCATATAAAGTTTCAGTTAGAAAAGCTGAAAGGAACAGATCACTTGGAAAACATACGCATAGGTAAGATAATATTCAAATGGATCAGAAATAGGATGAGAAGGTGTGGACTGATTCATCTGGTTCAGAATGGGGACTGGTTGGCAGGCTCTTTTGAACATTGTATTGAACCCTCAGGTTCCATAAATTGTAGAGAATTTTGTGAACAGCTTAGCAACTGGTAGCTCCTAGTTATGCTGTATGTATGGAGAACGGGGTGTACCACATATATGAATCTGTAATGTGATCACAGATTCAGTTAGTTTCTGCAGTAATAGCACCTGTGTGAGCAAGGATGGTTGGTATCAGTGCCTGTGGTGGCTGAAACCACACTTTGGTTTTTGAAATAACATTATTCATTCATCTGTAATCTGTCAAGACGACAGGTCCACAGTCTCCTCCAGAACAATTCCTCCACTTGATGTGATCTAGAGCTCTCTCCTTCAAATGAAAATATCCTCTTCTGTCCCCAAGGTCATCCAGCATCTTCTTACGTCTTCTTCCTCGTCTTCTGGTCACTTCTATCCGCCTCTCTATCTTTCCTTCAATAACTTCTCTTAGAAGGCAGTTACAGGATATTCGTTTTATGGGTAATTTGTCTATTCAAACACCTTTAACTTTGGTTTGCTTAGGCGTCTCACAGATAAAAAATTTTCTTTGCAGTTTTTTCTATTTGCTTGCGAATTCTGGATACTTGAATACTGGTTAATTGGGTGTTTACTGTTATTGACTGAGGATTTTAATGTTCTTACTCCATCGAGACAAATTGTGAAACAGTGCCATAAAGAGGGTCTCCCCTGTTTCAGCATTCATTGCCATAACCTTTTTTAATCCTGGGTTGGGGTGAGACTTGAGTCCTTTGGTACTTAGGCCTTAAATGACCCATTTTACCAGCTTTGGATCACAGATGAGAGAAATTGAGCATTTGGTGGAATGAGAATTGGCAGGGAAATCAAAGTATTTAGAAGAAACCTGCCCTAGGACCACTTTGTCCACCACAGAGCCCACATGAAGTGATCTGGGGTTGAACCTGGACTGATGTGGGAAGAAACTGGTAGCTGACTGCCTGAGCAGTGGCATGGTTTATGGATATAACATAATCTGATTTGTCACAAAATCATATTTAAATAAACTGCCAGTCAGATTTTATCTCACAGAAAGTAAGTTGTAGTGTCACCGATTGTGATCTGTTTGTGCTAACTGCTATGAAGTTCTTGCCTTCCTTGGAACCCTAGCGTTCAATACTGTGTTCACAAGAGACCTCTATGGTCCCTATCTCGTGAGCCAAATTAATCTATGGCATATCAGTTTCTGTATACAGAGAATTTTTATCTTAATTGTTTCAAGCCTTTCAAGTGTTTACAATTATGTTAACTTCCCAAGGAGATAGAATGAATGTGACAGGCACATGCATTTTACAAATAGAGTTATATTTTAATTTCCACTTTCCCTGATTTTTTAAAATGCTAAATTGCTATACTTATAAGACTAATGTCATAATGCCACAATATTATAACAGGTTGCATAGAATTAGTGTTCCACTTGTTAGAAGGTTGGTAGTTCCTAGACTGTAGTTGTAGATTAAAGATTTTAAAGTGTGACCTTCACGGTAGCCGAGCGGTCTAAGGCATGCACTGTCTTCGCTCGCTCGGAAGCCGGGATTGTGGGTTCGAATCCCACTCGGGCATGGATGTTTGTGTGCGTTTTTCTGTGTTTGTCTACAGGTAGAGAGAGGCCTTGCGACGAGCTGATCACTCGCCCAAGGAGCCCTACCATATATGTAAGATCTAGTAAACCGAAGAGAAACGGAGAGTTTTGTGGAGGTAGGCCTAGGCCCAAATTTGGGCTGTAGCACCACAGGAAAAAAAAAGTGTGACTTAGTGATATGTTTGGGAGCAAAGTGTGGCAGGATATATAATGAGCTCTAGCCAGTGTTATGTTATTAGATTCTGAATGTTTGCTTTTCTTCAACCAGGCTGACAATGACTTGACAGAATTGAAGTCACTTCTGGAGAGTTCTTCTCAAAGTCTTGTTGTAAGTACTTCCTTTAGTAGGGACATGAAATTTAAAATTGTATACTGTATATTGCTTTCTGATAACTTTGATAAAGGTATAGTAGTTTTCATGGCCATAAGCAAGATTTTATTTTGGGGAGAAGGAAAGGGTGAAATGAATAAATAAAAATTAAATTTGAATACTAAGGCACGTAGTTTGATGCTATTGAAATACAGTTTGGTCTCTTTACTACAAGGCCTTTATCTCCTAATGTTTAAGTTGTTCACATTGCAGGCATTCAGAGGTTTAAATGTGGCCGTCAATTTGAATGTTACTGCTGCACTACAATTAAAGTTAGTTCATAAGTTTTCATAACTCTGAAATACTAAGTCTGTTAATTGTCTTATGTTGAGATATTGAGTTGTAGAATGGAAATAGCAAAAAAGTGTAAGTTTCCTGAGCAAGATTTGCTTTGATATTAAAATGTAATGATGATGGTGGTGGGTATTGATGCAGAAGAATTAATTAAAACAGTGGCAGTATATTAATCTATGAAGTGATATAATTATTGGGTGATAAATTATGTTTCCATTAGCTTCTTTTTGAAGTCACTGGATCTCGTTTTCTCTGAATACAGAGGGCATGAGAAGGAACTGTGATGTTTGAAAAAGACATCTACTGACTGGAATAAAATAAAGCAATGCAGATATCAGCACTGAATGGCAAAACATGTCCAGTTTTAAGATTGAAAAGTCTGTGATGATGATAGGGACTACCTCTATTGATTGGGCCCAGCTGAATAGGTTCCATTTGAAGATGGAAACAGAACCCAGTCTCTGAAACATTGTGTTTTAAATAAAAGTGGAATGATGGATATCTTCCAGAAATGCAATAAATGTATGTCCAGTTTTGTTGTACTAAGCAGTGCAGCTCCATGTGCATGCATGAACTGACAGTGTGACTCTCTGACATTCCAGTATCATTACATGCCCACTCTCTGGATTTGTGTTTGGGAAGATGTAGGCTCATTTCATGGCTCCCTAGGAGTCCTGTCTTAACACTGCTTGTCTTTTTCCAGTGGATTCCTAGAAAAATATTGTATGTGCTGAATGAGTAGAAAATTGACAGAAGTTGTAGTACAGAATCACAGTGGCAGTACCTTTGGTGGCTTCTGCGCTGCTTATGAGAGAGAGACTTTGTTAGAATTTAATCTTGACTTTTGCAAGCATGTAAATGCAGCTCAGATTGAAATGTACTTACAGGCAATCATCATCACCTATCTAATATGTCATGTTGCCACTTTGAATTACTTTTATTCATACTTAAACTTGTGCAGTGTTGTATTTGACTGCTTTGTATGTCCAATATGGTATGTTGTGGAATTCAGTGTTCCTGTCAACACTGTTTTCTCTCCTTTGTGTCAGTGAATGTTACAAAACCATTGATTATTTCTTGTGTACTGTGTATGTTTCAGCTAAGTGTAAGAATGATGGCTTTCTTTTTTCAGGAAATGAAATTTTTGTTACTTGAACAAAAATACTTGGAATACTTAGAAGATGGTCGTGTATTGGATGCACTACATGTGCTGCGTAATGAACTAACACCACTTCAGCACAACACAGTCAGGGTGCATGAACTCAGCAGGTGAAATAATAATGTTTACTAAATGCTAGCATCTTTTATTATATAGAAATGTTGTCATTTTTTGCAAGACATTACTTTGCATTTAAAAATAATGCTGGATATTAAGAAGAGACAGGCCTGAACAGCCAGATTTTGTGCCTCTGAAGTTTCCTTTCCACGCGGCTTCATACTTCAAACCAAACAAACTCCTGTACTAGTGTACTTTTGCCTCACAGCACAAAGGAGATGATTTGTTCACTGCTGGAGTGGCCTATATCTTCCATAATTACTACAAGGGCATTAATAATAATAATGCAGTGATACCAGGTCAAAATTAAATTCACATTTTTTATCTCTGCAGTTATTTGATGCTTCTCATGGATTATAGTATTGGATTATACGAGGGTTGGAACTTTAATAGTGGCAACGCTGCTGTAGAGACGCCATGCAATGGAACCAAATAATGTCGCTTATACCACATGTTAGTTACATACCTACCTTACCTCAGAGCAAATGGACTCTTCCTTCCCACATCACGCGCATGCGAATGCAAAAGATCTGATCTGTAGTTGATCTGTTACATTTAAACCCACACTTATGATCCCCAATAATTTCATCTATATATGGACTTAACATTGAGAGAAGAATATTGGATAAAATTTTGTATGAAGTTGATAGCAGTGATATCCCCAATAAATACTTCAGTCAGTTTTATCACCCTTCTTGTGAACTGGTACAATAATAGATTCCTTCCACTCATCAGGCATTTTTTCCTTATGCCAGATAGAAGTAATTAGATTGTGGATCTTAGAACATAATATTTCACCTCCTGCTTGAACAAGTTCTGCTGGAATTGGATCACTACTTGGCGATTTAACCTTTTCAATTTTGCAATAGCACTTTCGATCTCAAAAGGGCTAGGATCAGGTACAAACAGCTCAGCTATATGGATTTCTGTCTGCCTAACATCACTGACCTTATGTACATTCAATAACAGAGAAGTAGTTCCTCCACCTATTCAAAATATTGTGGGAGACTGCAAGCAGATCACCATTCTCATCCTTCACTAAGTTACTGCTAGGCTAGTAACCCCTCTTAAAGTCATTTATTCCTCTATACAGGTCTCTAATATTCTTGTTCTTACTGTTCATTGCAAGCTCATCGATTTTGTCTTTCAGATATTCCATCTTTTTGTTCCTGAAAATCCTGCTGGTTTCACGTCTTATATTGTTCAGATTATCCCCATTTATTTTGCTTGGATCCTGTAACCATTGCGATTTGGCTTGTATTGCTTACGTATTTGAGACTTTAACATGATACTGCTCCTTCCCCTCCACCTCGTTTCAGTTCTTGAGATTGAACCTCTTCAGATGAATTCTGTGTATTGTTTGTTTACTCACTACCAGTCTTTCCCTAACCTTTGCCACCACCAGGTAGTCGTCAGTATCACAATCTGCTGCCCTGAATGCTCAAACATCAAGTATACTTGAGTGCCGTTTCCTGTCTATCAAAATATGGTCGATTTGATTGTGTATTTTCCCATCAGGAGATGTCGAAGTAAATTTATGGATGTTACGATGCAGGAACCTTGTGCTTTTGACAGTAAGATTTTTTGATGTGGCAAAGTTTACTACTCTAACTTCAGTATCATTACTAATTTCATGCAAACTCTCATTCCCAATTGTTGGTTTGAAAATGTGTTCCCTCCCTACTTTGGCATTTAAATCTCCTAACAAAATTTTTATAAGGTACTTTGGGAATTTATTAAATACATGTTCTAGTTCTTCATAGACCCTATCCTTTATGTAGTCAATTTTATCTTCTCATGGGCCATGGTTCAATCTCTTAAAAATACTGTGAGCATATTTTGTATATTTCTCTATTTTCTACTCTTCATGTTTGAAGCAGTGTGTTAACAGATTTGAAGTCTGAAATCAAAACATAAGATATCTGAAAGAAGAACTCCGTAATATGAATATAGTGATAAGGAATTGTATTAGGTATGAACAACAGTAGAATCTCTTTGAGAGCAAAGTAAAATGGAGATGGTGTTTAAATGACCATGAGCAAGGTTGAGATACCAAGTGAGGAAAGAGTGTACACAGATGCAAGAGAATTGCTTTGGCAGGAAAGTTTACTGTGGTGCAACTTCCCACAGTGGGTGTTGATGATGAGATGAACATACAATTAATTTGTTTATTTCTTTAGTTATATGATGTGCAGCGGACGTGAGGAGCTCCAGGTTCGAGCCAGCTGGGAAGGTAAAGGCTTAAAATCTCGAACTCAACTCATGGACAAGCTCCAGGAATTTCTACCTCCCTCCATAATGCTTCCTCCTCGCAGGTATGCTGTGTGTGGCTTCCATACTCATCTAATTTGTATAAAGTGATTTGCAGTGATGTCATATTTAATGAATTGAGGTTTTTGATAAGTGGGAACTATACAGAACTACAGCACGAAACTGTTCAGCTTCTTATAAGAACTGTTTTCGACATGAATAAATACAGTAACATCAAATTAATTTCTAAAACAGTTAGTGGCACATAAAGTAAACACCAAAAGAAAGAAACTGTTTCTGCACAAATAAATTCAGTTACATACTCAAATGATATCCAAGTAATTTCTAAAGTAATCAGTGCCACTGAGTAAACGTTGTGGTTGTGTTGAGCAAGAATGAGTTCCAGCAGAGAGAAAACATGAATATTGATTGGTTATATTTGGTTTTGTTTGGGACCAGAAAATATGCAGTAAACTCTCTGGCATGTATGAAGATTGGGATGTTCTGTTTACATGAATCTCATTAATTTTATGAGAAAAACTCTTTCAGAAACCTTTTCTTCACATTATTTCAAAGCTGAAACAATGCATTTTTGCTTTAGTTCCTGCATGTGAGCCTTCTTTAGTGACACAGTGGATTGATGGGTGAACGATTTAAGATACACTATAACATGATCAGATATTTAATTAGGCTGTGCTCTAATGACACCTCTGTGAGAGAGGATGATGATGAGCACTGCTAGTGGCAACTGGGAGACCTACCATGTGGTGTCTAAGCACATGCACACTGCAATTTTGTTTTTAAAGTTACTTTTCGAAATGGTAAATTTTCTTTGATACTAGTAGTATGTGGTATAATGTGTGCGAGCCTAACAGATCCCTGAAGGTTATCAGTACAGTATAAACACATTTTATTTATTTATTCATTTGCCTCACTGTGAACATAATAGCCTCATGTATTGCAGATATAAAACTTAGTGAGCCCAATGATTTAACTCTTGAGAGAGCGACATGTATTTGTCCATGACTGAATACAGGTTTCAGAAGATACATGCAGATTTTGTCAAAAGTGTGCCTGTGCAACTTCTTCACGGTCATTGAGAAGGCTAAACATAGAAGAAGCTGTCTTGTTTTGAATTTGAAAGGCACAGTTGTATCAGGTGGAAAGAAAGACATGTACAGTATGAGAACAGTGTCCAGGTTTAGTCCATCTGTTACACAGGTCTGTATGGTGGTATCTCGATAGACATGTTTCAATTCCATGCATGAGATTTGGCTCATACCCCAATGTGGGTATTGTTACATTTACACCCATTGCTAGGCAACAGGGCATTTAACACATTCCTGCAGAAGCGAAGGCATGGAACAATAGGATATATGTTGCAAGGCAGCGTAGCTGTAAACACATTTCTGCATAGGCGGTGACATCACATAACAGTGGATAGTGACCACGTGATGTGTTTTCTGTAGGTCCATGCCAAAGGTTTATAGGGGACAGTGAAGGTCGTTCACAGTCAGTCACAGCTGAGAAACCATGAATCAGTAACACACAGCTGTCACGGAAAGAGAGTGCAGGAAGGTTCAGCACTTCAGAGTACAAGGATGAGAATGGAGAGAGAGAGAGAGAGAGAGAATGAAGGCAGAGGGTGAGTGAAGGACCTAGGTGGCAGATGGCCATGATATCTGGGGAAACAAGACCTGAAGAAAAAAAGATGATAAAGCATGGTAAATGTTTACCAGAATCTCAGGAAGACCATCGGACTGGAGTTCATGAGGCAAGAAAATGGGATGTCCAGTGGGTTGTGGAAAATGAAGAACTGTACCTTGTAGAAGGTTCAGCTCCCTCCAGAGCGGAAAATCAGGAACTGAGCATTGTGGAGGGGTCAGCCCCTCCAAAACAGAAGAAAAACCTACTAGCAGTGTTAGCATAAGAAGAGCAGGATATGTGGGAGCACCGGCCACTCCAGGAGTTGTGGCTCACCGTGGGAAAAAGAAGAAGAAGAAAACCTTTGGATGATGGTGAGAACTTGGACTAACTGGAATGTTATATAAGGGAACCGCTCAGGACGAGTTAGCCTTAAGAAGGGAGCAGTGGGAGTGCTTGGAGGATGAACACCGCGGAAGAAGAGAGGAGAAGGTGAGGCGTCAAAATTAGAGACGTCGTAAAGGAAGAACAGGTGATACACCTGTAGGCTATTCAGGGTGAACTTTCTTAAGGAGGGAGCAATGTGGCATATTGTTACCTGTACACCCATTGCTAGGCAGTGAAGCAGTAAATACACTTCTGCATAGGCAGTGATGTCATACAACAGTGGATAGAGACCACATGACGTGTTTTCTGTAGGTCTGCACTGAAGGTTTATAGGGGACATTGAAGGCTGTTTGCAGTCAGTCATAGCTGAGAAACTGTGAGTCAGGGACACAAAGCCATCACAGAAAGGTAGTGAGACTTCATAGTGATTTGAAGTGGTAGTTTCTAGGTTGAGATCCATTGCTAGGAGATGACTAGTGGAAACTGAGAATCCTAGTGCATGTGCATCGGTGAACTGGAAGGTGTGTAGATCAGCAATAGCACTGTAATAAGTGTGATAGAGAACTTTTATCCAAAATGTGAATAAATCCAATCATCCACACTAGAACCCTTTAATTTGGTCACGTGTACAGTGTACTGGCAACAGTTAGAGATCTTGAGGCTCATATTAACACTTGTAGGTCTTGCCTGAAGTCTCTCTGTAGTAGCACAGGTTGCCATACAAAAGACTTCTCTAATCCTGTGAAATAGCACAGTAGCTTTGTCTAACACTCGAAAAGTGTGAATGTTCTTCATTGGTGCTTTATTCCACACTGTTAGTTTTGACTAGAGAAGTGCCATGGCTTCCTCTGTGTTTGGCTCTGAATTACATGCTGAAGCTGCAGTCAACAGCAGAGGCATATTGAATGTGGAGTGTGCAGTCCTGTATCATGCTAACAGAATTGCTTCAGTACATTAGACACAACTGGAGTAACACTGTCCCCATTGCATCATATGGTGCGTAGTTCACTTGAGTAAAGAAATGCCTTTTCAGCTCTGAGGTACTTCATATGACCTCAGGAATAGTGTCAAATACAATTTTTTATTCATTGTTCAAATTTTTCAGTATTTGCAATTGCTTTTGCTTTTTCTCTCAAAACATTGAATGATTGAAAATGTGGAGGTCTCATCAGTTCAGCTGATAAATGCAATTTTTGAAGGCTCAGACCAAAATTATTCAGCATTTTGTTGATATCAACAAGAGTGTAGAAAGGTCCATTGTCATCTTATGAAATCTTCACTCTTGCACTGCTTGTGTCTTTCGCATAATTCAATTCAGATACATCTTCTGGCTTTCCATCTCCACATATGTGGAGAGGCTATAAAATAACCAGACTGATACTCTGAAATCAATTATTCAACTAATCACACAATGGAAATATTGTCACCTTCAAAGTGGTCCCCTCCCTGACCCATACACAGCTCAATGCAAATTTTCCACCGTCGGAAGTAACGCTGCAGGTCCTTTTCTGAGCTTCTTAATTACCGCCATCATCTTTGCCTTCACTGCATCTATGGACTCGAAACAGGTTCCTTTTAATGCGGACTTGATCTCTTGAAATAAATAAAAGTCACACAGGTCTAGGTCAGATGAGTAGGATGGATGTTCCAACATGGGGACCCTGTGCTTTGCCAGAAATATCTTGACAGACAGTGCATTGTGTGCCAGTGCATTGTCATGGTGAAGAATCCATGAGCCCTTCTTCCACATTGTTTAATAAAATATGTAATTTAAGCTTTTTATGCTACTTTTATTCCTTGCAGTGAGGAGAGATGTGGATGAAAATGGTCTTAGCCAGTTGGCCATAAGGATCTTGATTACCAAACCAGATCTTCCAAACCAGCAGAGTGATCTCTGAATGTGATGGAAAATACTAGAATTTGAAAGAGCAAAGAGCTTCACAAAGACATGGAAAAACCTCTTTACTCTGTCCATTCAAATTTATATTCACTGCCAAGGAATACTACAGAAAACTGTAAAATGAGTTCTGGAGTAAGATTTCGGTTTGCGTTTTGAAATCTAGGGTCTCAACTGATAAAACCTAAGAGACCACTGGAAACTATAACCAAGGAGAACACATAGAGCAGTGTGTGATATTTGAGATTCTCAGGGCATTGTGTGTTAAGATTACTGTCTTCTGGGACATGGTGCCATGTATGAGTAGTCTGATAGATGCTCACACACTTTTGGAGGAACATGGTGGAAGAATACGAAGAGAAGAGCACCATGAAAATGGAGGGGGCATGTTCCTCCAAAATGTCAGTAAACATCAGCCAGTTGACATGGTGCCTCATCCAAGAAGACAGTAACCCTTGCATGGTAGCTTTCTTCAGTTCCTTTCAGAGTCTTGAGATCAGAAGTCCTGAAGTAAATGTGGATGAAAATGGTTGAAGAATGTGTATTTGTTACTACGGGGAAGTAGTTATAGAGAGATTATCACTGTCATCTTCATATTACAGACTGCATACATTATTATGCCAAGCAGTGGAGCATCAGAAACACCAGTGCCCATACCATAATACAAAAACTGAGGATGGTCTTGAAAATATCTCCTTACTCGTAGATCATCACTGCACCAGGTAAGGAAATGGTGTGTGTAGTAGGTGAAACTGTATTAGATCTGATTATATGTGTTGGCAAAACTGATATATTGGTGTGGCTTAAAATGTGATTTGTGTGAACACTTCTAGAGTAGGTTACAGGTATTAATTTATCTTATCATAAAAAAATGTTTTAAGAAATTGAAGTCTGTGAAGTTACCTGTTTTATGTGCCCATGAAACTCGAACTTTCTACATGAGGAAAAAACACGCATTAAGAGTATTTGAGAATGGTATGGTGAGGAGAATATTTGGACCTAAGAACGAGGAAGTAACAGTAGTCAGAGAAAATTGAATAATGAGGATCTTCACAGTGTGTTGTACTCTTCACCAAACATTGTTAAGGTGATCAAATTCTCATCTCTCTCAAACTTGTGAGACAGATGAGAAATGTGCGCAGTATTATAATGGTTAGCAACATGAAGTCGGAGACTACGTGGGAAACCTAGATGTAGATGAGAGGATAATATTGTGACATATTTGCTGAGAGATGAGGCACGATGCTAGCCTGTGGTGCAATAAACATGTCACCATGACAACATTGATGTCACACAACAATGAAACAACTCCTGGAAGAGATATTTTCTGTGTGTCCACGGAAACCACCACAGCATACTGTAGCAAAGTGACTGCAAGAAGAGGTGTTTTCTGTTGGGTCCACCCCAAGGCTATATCTAGAGCATTGAGACACAGCTAAGTCAGTCGCAATGTGACTTTGACTTTGAACCAAGTCAGTTGAGTAGAAATTGAGCTTGGAGGAAGGCAGCCTGAGACAGTCTGAGTAGGTCCAAGGTCCTGGTGAAGAGGCCAGCAGCAGATCAGCATAGTTTCGAGGTGGCGGTTAGGGAACACAATTTGTGAACTGTAAGGGCGTGAGGAATAGCCCTTGTTAGAAGACTGTGACCAGGTGACACCTAGTTGAGAGGGAAGATAGCCACCAGCCAGCAAAGATAGAAGCTGATGAACAGGGAAGCCGAGGAATCCACCGCGTTGGGAGCCATTACCAGACAACCAATGAAGACACAACAGACTGAGAAGACTTAGTGAGTGCTGTAGTGATTTGTTAAGTGTGTAGATTCATGAAACTGTATAGTTAATTGTAGTTATGAGTTTCAAGAGTTCAGTAAATCCAATTATCAATTAACTCTGTGACTAGTCACTCAGTCACATGGCAATATTAAGCTGGATCTTAAATAAATGATAACTTTTTGTGTAGATCAGGATAGGCAGTTGTAAACTTGATAATGAAACTTCTGGTTTCATGAGAGAAGAGACATTCTGAACTGGGCAAATTAAGCTTATGAGATCATGTTACCTGTACATGTGCACACCATTGCCCATATGGGTGTGTGTATCTGGGAAGTGTATCCATTTCAGCTGTTCAGCCATTTGAGTCATATTCATTAAATTTGAAAAGTGGCATAAATGTTGTGGCATGTAGACCCGTTGCTAGGCGATGACCAGGAAATAAGCAACTTTACAATAGCCATTGCTAAGTAATGGCTCTGCAGACAGGCAACAAGAGGATACAACAATAATGGGAAGCAGTATTTTCTTTGCAGTCTGTGTCCAGTGTTATAAACAGAACAAGTTAGGAGTCAGGAGTGAGTGAGTTGGTGAGTTAGAGGACTGCTGTGGTTCAGTTGTTGTGATCCATGCTGTTAGAAGCTGGTAGCTGAGGCAGGGTACAGTTCAGGAAGACCCTACCAAGCAATGCCTAAAGGATACTGTAACATACTGAGAACAGTAGTCTGTATAACAGTGAACTGTAAAGTGTAGTCACACGCTGTATCAGAGAGTCCAATAAATCTAATCATCAATCCAAAACCTGTCTATAGTCATACTGATACACATGACAATATTATTCCATTGACAACCACCCCATACCCATACATTTTAGTTTTCTATGTCAATAATAGCAACATGGCTTAAATGCAAACTTGTGAGGTGGGAGCAACACTAACGCAACTTACTTTATGGTTCTGAAATGGTGATGGTAATTCATTCATTCATCAGTAATCTGTCAGATGACAGGTCCACAGCCTCTTCCAAAACAGTTTCTCCACTTAATGCGATCTTCTGTTTTTGGAAAGAGACTATCCAGGAATAGTGATAATGTGGTAGTTTTTCCATTTGCTTTCCACATCGCAGTACAACAGCCGTTCAAACCACTCTGGTCACGCCTGTTGCTATACGAACTTGAACCATCTCGAGCATCATTTTCTCTGTGCTTCAAGTCGCCGCTGATGACGCTGCTTCCGGCATCAGTTTTCGGTGTCTCTCTTCGTCTGATGCCTACCCTTTGACCTGTCCAGCAAGGGAGGCCCTGCCAGTAGCTACGCTACCGCTGGTATAGCTCTCAGGGTCCTTGGCATACTCAAACACCCTCACCACGATAAGGTGGAGACACCAACGAGGGGGTGATGGTAATATATTTTGGAATAGTACATGACTTTTTTAAGGTAATATTGTAAAGTGGATGGACACAGCGTTGCTAGGTAACTGACCGTTAAACACCTCGCAACCAAATACATGCAAGACAACATTGGGAGTGTGGCATTTTCTGTGTGGCCGGCTCCATGACCGTTGCTATGCAATCGCTTGGTAAACACGTTCCAACAGTACAGGCTGTTTTCTGCATGGTCATTGTGGAGGCTATATAATGACAGTTAAGAGACAGATTTCAGTATTTGAGAGCATTTAAGTGTTTAAGGAACAGCCATGGGAAGTTTGTCGTGTGAAGACTTGGCATGTGATTGGAAGTCTTTAATGATGTGTAATACTTGGAGTGATCTGAAGTGGTAGTTTCTGTGTTTTAATTGCACTACCAGGAGAGGACTAGTGTGTGTGTGTGTGTGTGTGTG